ACGTCACTAAAGGGGCTGCACTTGCAATCTAAATTGTTGAGCTTAATGTTGAGTCTGGCAGGCTGTACAGTACCTAACTGAAGGTTCTTTTAAGTTTCCCTTGAGCTTCGTTGGGACAGTATCTTAAAAGTAATTTCAAATAAATGTTTTATGCTGTCAGTTCTATGTAATGATATACATATAGAACTGTCTTGTGCTTTATGCAACTCTTTTTTCAAGCAAACAGCCATACAACTGAATTCATTAAAAGCCAAATACTGTGGATGCTGAAATCTGAAACAAATGCACAGAAACCTGGAGGAACTCCATAGCATCTGTGGAGAGAGAAACAGAGTTCTTGTTTCAAGTCTGATATGACTCTTCAATTCTGAAATGTCTGTGTCTTTAATGTGTTGGCGCCCAGAATGTGGTACAAAGTTCCAGTTGAGGCTGAAGCAGTATTTAATAAAGATTCATCATAAATTCTGTATTCTATGCATCTGTTTATATGGCCCAAGAACCTGCATGCTCTTTTTATCACTTTCTAATCCCTGTCACCTTCAACAATTTGTGCACAAATACCCCTATGCTCCTCTGCCCTGCAATCCCTTTTAAAATTGTAACATGAATGCAAGAAGAATGACAAGAGGTGCCTTGTTGAGCCTCCTCTGCCATTTGGTATGATCATGTCTGATCCTGGGCTTAAACTCTACTTTCCTACCCTTACTCTATATTTCTTGATTCCTTGAGACTTAAAAATCTGTGCCTGGTCTTTAAGTATATTTAACAATTGAACATCCACAACCTTTGGAAACAGAAAACATCCAAGATTTCTTTATTTTGTTCAGTTAATGCAAAAGCGCTATTCAAAAAACAACTTCCCATTTCTTTATTAATTTCTAACTTCCACGTCCTCCCATTCCACCAGCCTTCACCCTATTAAGGTCGATCATAACCCTCCTTGCCATTCACAATGCTATGAAGTCCAATATCATCTGCAAGTTTTGAATTGTAATGTAAAACAAGAAAAGCAATGGCTGTAGTACTGACCTCCGAGGGACCTCATTATATGCCTTCTGCTGACGTTGCTCAGTGTGATCACTTTTCATGTCAACAAGGTAATTTATAACAAGACAATATTACGAACCTTTGTAATCCCAGTGGAGCTAAACTGTGTGGCATTCTGGCAAAGTGCTCTTGGTATTTCCTTCCTTTAGCTGGTATCATATGCTATAATATCATCGGCGGAGAATGTTTACATTTGTGATGAAATCCTTTAGTCATATCCATTTTTTGTATAAAATGAGCAAGCCAGCATTCTCTGTGGAATGCATCATTTCAAGCATGCTAAGTTCAAATGTTGCTCGTTGACAATGTTCAATTCTGCCCAACAATAGCAAAAAGTGTTGTGCAAGATTTTTCAGGACGACATTCAGGATGATCTGGGGTAGGACTCTGAAGCTAGCTGTCAGTGAAGCGCTGAAGTTATGCTTGTGAATGTGCACTGAAGTGCAGTTTGAGTGTTGCAAAGTGTGAACCCCATGGCAGGTGATGATTAACCAGACCTGGAGCAGTTGCTGAGACTGTCCATGACTAATGGCCCTTAAGAGTGAGTGTGAATGCCAGATTGCAAAGATGAAGAATTGTAATTCTTTAGTGTTTAGTGAGATCTGATAACCTATGAAATCTTTAACACCTGGGGGATGTTGCTGAGAAACCTGTGGGATTTGTCTTGATCATGTTTGCAATTTGATGCACATTTTATGTTTTATTGTATGTTAATTCTGCTATTGGAAACATGCTCAACATGTACTGTACATTGTATTACTATTCTGATGTTGTTTAGGGAGGTATGATTGTTCAACATTGTGGAATTTTGTGGCTTTATTCTCATAACAAGGCCCTTGATCTCCCCTTTTGTCTACTTGAAAAACAATAGGTTACTGGTCCCTAACTAAATTATACCACAATTTGATTATCTTACTGGGATCATAACATAAATTCGGTTGTTTGGTTTGGGATCATAATATTAGAACTGACAATACTGTTCACCATTGCCTGCCTCTGATCCATGACACATGTATGCCAAATCCTTATCTGAGAGTTACTCTGCACTCTATATTATAGCATTATATATGGAAAATCACCTTTCTGCGACATGAGGACAGATTCATTGATGCTTGTAGAGTTTGGTTTGACCATCAGCATCAGGAAGACAAATGTCATTGTCCAGAAAGATTCCATCATAATACTGTTCAGCATTGACTATGTGATGTTGAGAGTTTTATGTATGTAAGTTTCAAATTGCCAGCAATCTTTTGCTTGATGCTAAAGCAAGCACACTGATTGCAAAGGTGCAGCTATTCTTTCCAAACTGAATGAGTGTACGTGGAATAAGCAACCTGATTTGAGAACATGAAAATGTGAATTTACCAATCTGTACTCACTGCACACCTAAAATTGATCAATAAATGCAACAAATGCTAATTAGGAGAAAAGGCTGAACAGTTTCCACCTTCTGTTTCAGCTGTATTCTCAGTATCTCTTGGCAGGGACAAAGTCACCAACTTTGAGGCTCTGGTGAGTGTTATAGTCATTAACATAAACTGATAACTGAATAACAATGGTTCTAATAGTTCAGCTATGCTCAAAGGTTATCCTGTCATCCTTGTGGGAGAGCTGGGGATGGCAGAAGTGGATAAAATAAATAGTATTCCACATTTTAAGTTTGAGTCACACATTTTTATTACTTCATTCGTGGGATATGAACAATGCTGTCTGGTCAGCATTTATTGTCCCTAGTTGCCCTTGAGAACGTGGCGGTGGTGAGCCTTGAACTGTTGCAGTCCATGTGCTGTAGATAGATTTGCAATTCTGTTATGGAGGGAATTCCAGGGTTTTGACTCAGTTAAAGTGAAGGAACAGCAATATATTTCCAAATCAGGATGGTGAGTGGCTTTGGGGGGACCTTGTGGGTGGTGGTATTCCCATGTATGTTTCAAAAGTGGTTAAACCCAAATGATTCTTTTTCTTCTGCCTGTTTTTACTTCAATCTCCAGGGGCATTGCTGTCGTAGGGAGGAGGGCATGCTTGCATTCTAGTGCAGAAATGCTGATTCTCACTGGTGTAAATTGAAACTTGCATTCAGTTTAATGACTGAATTCATACATTGAGACAGTGCATTTTATACTCCAGAATCATTACATGTCTGTTATAATGTTCATGTGGCACCAGCCTAATTTTATAATTTATTCTCAAAGATCCATGGAAGCAAGGATATGGTATCTAATAAAGATACATGTACTCTGCACTAAGCAAAATGACCAAGAGCAAAAATAGCTTGTAAAAGAAGATAGACTGATGACCTATTAAGAGGGGTATTGGAAATAAAAAATGCCATGTTTTCTAATCTGCAGACTGAATAACTACTATGTTTTAAATTCACAAAAATCTCCCCTGACAATGGTCTGAATATGTTGAAAGATCCTTCATTGTGATCTTTGTGATACTGCTGTCAAGGGCTTAAAAAAATTATACAGTTCTTTAGAAGCATAAATAAAAATACTGGAAATGTTGACAATTTGAAATGAAGATAGAAAGTACTGGAAAAACTCAATAGGTCTGACAACGCCTCCTGGAGAGAAAAACAGACCAGCAGAGTTACTGTTTAGAGTTCACTATACCTCTGGAGTTGAAGGAGCTGCAAAATGCTTTTTCTACTGTTGACAAAGGGGGAAGAGGAGCAAGTAGAACGGATGATGAGGGTGCCCAGAATGAAAGGCAGAGGAAGTGATAATGGTAACAGAGGAGTGATTTTTTTTTTGAAGTTTGTATTCAACCTTCCCAAGTATGTTAAATGCCTTAATACTGGTTTTATGCTTTACAGATTGTTGTAGATATTTCTCATGTTGTTTTGAAGTTATTTCTTCTGGCAATTCTTGTTTTTTCTTCCAGTTTACTTTAATGGTCTCTGGTTAGATCATTTTGCCTCAGTTAAGAGCAATATTCGGTATTAGTTCTATAAACCATTTCATATTTTATGTATTTTGATGTGACCTCCCTTAGCCATCTTTTTCAGGTTGTTCACCTTGTATGTCGCATAATTCATGTTCCTCTTGCCTTTGATGCTTACACACTTCTCATGTAGCATGACCAGAGCTGTTGACAGTAATCAAAGTGCACTTTTAAAAAAGCTCAAGATCAAACCAAACTGTAGGACAGGGGTGAAAGGCTAATATTAATGCAAATGGAACCAGCTCCGAGCTTTAAGGTGGCTGGAATTTTCCAATTTAGTCACAGGCAGAATTGGGAGCAGAAAGAAATTGAGCCTTCCCTATAGAAGGGCAATTTTAAATTGCTTATTGATATCAAGAAATGAGTTTCAATTCATGTACAACAATTTTGGTTCTAATTGCTGTTTGGTGGGCACTTTCTGCAAAGTATATGCTTGTGGATATTTTTGAATGAATATAAGATTAGATTTTGCTGTGATGTCATCTGGTCTGGAGCTCTATCCAGTTTTCCTGAAAGAGTTATTATTTGGGGTGAGGTACAAAAAGGCTGTTCAATTACTGTGGAATTTAATCCAGCTCAAATAGGGGAAAATAAACTGCACTTGAAAATCAAAGGCAAAATCTGGAGGTGAAATGTATTTTGATGTTGTAACAATTAAGTCTTCAGCTTCATTTAGTCAATGAAGTCGGATTTTAGTCGGATTTTCTCTGCTGAATTTTGCAGTAAGTAGGGCCAATTAGATGGCATTCGTCCTGTAATTCCTAATGAACTTGAGATATGGTAGCTGACGCCATTGCTGAGTTCATAGATTTGAGTCAATTGCAATAGGTGGCCTGACGTATTAGGATGTGTATGGTACATTATCGTGAGCTTTTGAAATATAAGTAGTAGTCAATCTAAGCTTATGCACAAAAATCGTGATTCACAGAAGTGGAAGGTATTTCAGTTGGACATTATCTTGGCTGTACCCTATCAACTAACCAGGTTTCTCTCTAACGTAATTTCAGAGCGCTGACATCAACACTCGTGCAGGCCTCTATTGGAATAAATACATGCCGTGGTGGAGCAGTATGGAATCGGTAAGCAGTGCTGTGAATTCTTTTCATCTCGTCCAACTCTTGACCCCTGCAATTTTACCACAGCATATAGAATGAAATTGATTATAGGCTTTGAAATGCCGAAATAACTTGTTGCAAAAATATCATCAGGTTTAAAATTCCAGTAATAGTCTTGAAATGTTGAAGATTATTTGTTGACTCGAAGTGACGTTGACCCTACAGGTTCCTACAAAGGATTTGGTGGATCTCTAGAGTTCCTTTGGCATTGGTAGCTTTTCATGCTAACCATCTAATGAGTATTTCCCTTTAGCCTACATGCTACAAATGTCTATTTGAGATATTACCTTGAGATTTCCATGGAAGAACCCTGCCCCTACCCTACCCCCACACCCCCTACTGAATGTAGGTAGATAATGAAAGATCTGGCGGTTGATGTTGTCTAAGTGAATTGAACATACCCTATCATTATAGGTGCATTTAATGGCGAGAAGTCCCTGGTAGATGCAGGAAATTAACAGATAATGGAATCTCCATTGGACTGAGGAGTACACTAGTGCACTATTGACATCAGTTCACATGCTCTAGAAATTCACGCATTGGACAGTCTGTCAAGATTGAAAATGACTTCAGCTCCAGTTTAGTTGGGCTCTGAGATGATTGAGTTTAAATGCCTTCAAACTTGGCTTAGTGTGGGGCTGGTAGTCTTCAAGGGATGAGTAGATGATCTGGTTGAAGATTTGCATGCTCCCTTTATCTCAACTGTCACTGTGTTTTTCTAAGTCATTTGAGATGTGAGCTTCATTTTCTCAGCCAGAATTTATTACCCATCTCTCCATGTCCTGGAGAAAGTAGTGGTGAACTATTTGAACCACTACAGTCCCTGGGGTTTTGTGACATCACAGTGCTGTTAAGAAGGAAGTTGCTATATTTTTACCCAACAAAAGTAAAGGAACAGTGACATACTTCCAAGTCAGGATGTACAGTGGCTTGGAGGGGAGCATGCAGGCAGTGGTGTTCCCATGCTTTTGCTTCCCTTGTTCTCTTTTTTTGTCGTGGAAGTTGCGGGTTTGGAATGTGCTGTTGGAAGGGCTTTGTTGAGCTACTGCGGTGCATCTTGTAGCTGGTACTCATTGCTTCCACTGTGTACCAGTAGTGAACAGATTAAATATTGAAGAAGTGAATGAGCTTCAAGTCATGATGGCTGCTTTGTTCTAAATGGTATTCAGTTTCTTGAGAATTGGAGCTGCACCTGTTCAGGTGACTTGAGATTTTTCTTGATGAGTCTTGATATAATGGGTGCCTTCACAAATGAACCTTTTGTATTTTTGTCAGCATACCTGCCAAACTGTTTAGGTTTACATCTTGTTTTAAAGAACAGTACCATATTTGAAAAATAACAGTGAGATGAAGCATTTATTGGAGACACCTCAGCTTCACTTGAATCAATAAACAAATGTTTTTGTTGCCAAGCTGCTGCTCCTCAGCCTGGTTTCTTGGACTGTAGCAATGTTGACAGACCTGTTCTGCACAAGTTGGCATCATTAAATCTTTAATTACGATGGTGTTCTGAGATTATACAGAAAAATAAAAAGGCCAAAGCAGGCATTGTGTTTCCATGCTTGAATATCTTTTTCATCTGTGTGTACTGTTTCCATTTCTTAAGGTGCTGGTTCCTTGTTGGGCTGCTATTTCATTGACGTTACTTGAGTTTCCAAAAATTTGTCTTATGTGTTAAAATATTGGTGAACTTCAGCAACTATTTAGAAAGGCATCACAATTGAGAATGATCTTGCCCTCACCTGATGAACAGTTTTGACAAATCTAAGGTTTTGGAGTAGATTTGTAGCTCAGGTTGTGGGTGTTGAGGTTGGTTGGCTCGCTGAGCTGGTTTGTTGTTCCGCAGACGTTTCGTTACCGTGCTTGGTAACATCCTCAGTGCAGCCTGACATGAAGCGTCAGTGTGTTTTCCTGCCTGGCTTTTAAACTCGGGTCTGTTGCGATGGATTGCCTCACTTCTGGGTTTCCTCCGTAGTGGAATGTATATGGGGTCGAGTTCAATGTGTTTATTATTACCCTTACCATCTTGCGGCTGTTTTGTTCTGCTGTTTTCCGGGCCTGTGGGTTGTTGATGGGTGGTTTGTACTTCACACTGCGTGGTAATACCTGGTTCCTGAGGCATCCATGTAGGAAATAGAGTTGTTCACGGGTTGCGCTCTCTCGTTTGGCGTAGTTTTCCCATTTCCTTGCCAGTAGGTCTCTAAGGTTTTGGAGTAGATTTGTAACTCGGGTTGTGGGTGTTGAGGTTGGTTGGCTCGCCAAGCTGGTTTGTTGTTTGGCATATAATACACGCATTGAACTCGACCCCATATACGTTCCACTACGGAGGAAACCCGGAAGTGAGGCAATCCATCGCAACGAACCCCAGAGTTTAAAAGCCAGGCGGGAAAACATACCAACGCTTCATCAGAGGCTGCACTGAGGATGTTACCAAGCACGGTAACGAAACGTCTGCGGAACAACAAACCAGCTCGGCGAGCCAACCAACCTCAGTTTTGACAAATGTGAGGGATAAACCAAAATTAGTCTCTATGCTAATTTCTCCTTTTACGAGGAATAAAGAGTCGACAGTAGCTCTCTCATTACTGTACCTATCCTCAGCCAACACTTGTCCATTGAAAGAATTCCTCAAGATGTTAGCTATTGGCTTATTTTTAACTAGTCTCTAAGTAATGCGTTCACTGCATACAACTTGCCTTTGTTCTCTTCCACCCATCACTCACCTTTTTATCAGTGATTTATCAAATGCTGCAGTAAATAAAATATCATTTTTTTCTATAGGTCAGCATTTTTGAAAAACACTTGCTATTCCTTTTGATATTTTGGTTTTTAATTCATTCGTGGGATGTGGGCGCCACTAGCTGGCCAGCATTTATTCCCTGTGCCTAGTTGCCCTTGAGAAAGGTGGTGGTGAGCTGCCTTCTTGAACTGCTGCAGTCCTCCTGCTATGGGTTGACCCACAGTGCTGTTAGAGAGGGAATTCTAGGGTTTTGACCCAACAACAATGAAAAAATGGTGATATATTTCTAAGTAAGGTTGGTGAGTGGCTTGGAAGGAACTTTGCAGGTGGTTGTGTTCCATGTATCTGCTGCCCTTTCCCTTTTAGATGGAAGTAGTCATGGGTTTGCAAGTTGCTATTTGAGGATCTTTGGTGAATTTCTACAGTGCATTTAGTGAAGGTTTGTAGCTTCCATGGTGCTATTTGTTTCCTGTGTAATATCTGAAAAGGCTCAAAGTATTTTAATATATTGTGCATATTATAATATGTTCAGAAACCTGATTTCTCTCTGCTTAGTTCTGGTATGAATGTATGTGGAGAATTTTTTTGGTGGGTTTCATATTAGGTTGCTGGCATTATTATGAGTGTGTAGATGTGAGAAAGCCATGAATTAAATATGGCTCCTGATTATAACTGCTTTCAGCACTTGGCATTACTGTGCATTTACCTGTGAAGCTTTAAAATAGGAAAACCAGAATCTAGAAAGAGACCAGTCTATTAATGATACCCTTAATAAGCTTAATATTAACCTACATATTTCAGTGTTTTTTTTTTGACATGGTATTCGTTTGAAATATAAATTCCTCTTTTCTGAAAGGTCTAAAGGCGATTTAAATAACCTGGGCCAGATGGACAACACCCCAAAGTTGTAAAGGAGATAACTGAGGAGACTGTAGAGGCATTGGATGTGATCTTTACAGATGACAAGTCAGGGAGGGGTTCAGAGAATGGGAAAATTGTTAATGTAACGCCCCGGTTTATGAGAGAGGGAAGCCTCTGTAGGAAACTATAGGCCAGTTCGCCTGACCTTGGTCATTGGTAAGATTTTATAGTCCATTATTAAGGATGAGACTGCGGAGTACTTGGATGTGCATGGTAAATAGGGCTGAGTCAGCACGGCTTCGTTGAGGAGAGGTCATGCTTGACAAAGTTGTTAGAATTCTTTGAGGACATAACAAGTGAGTTAGACAAAGGAGTGGGCATGATATATTCTAGACCCCTTCGACAAGTACCACATAAGACTTTGTTTGTCTTGTGTTATTGTCCAGACCAGAGCCCCTCAAAATATTTTCAGAACGTAGCCTAGATCCTAAGTTTTTCTTATTTTAAAGGTTGATGTATAGGCGAAGAGTTCCTGGTGTTAGGGGCAAGGTACTGGCATGGATTGGCTGGCAGGCAGAAAGTAGGGATAAAGGTGTCTTTTTAAGAATGGCAGCTGGTGGCTATTGGTGATCCGCAAAGGTCTGTGTTGGGACCACAAATATTCACGTTATATATTATCAATCTGGGCGAAGGAGATGAGGGTATTGTTGCTAAATTTTGCAGATGATGCAAAGATAATTGGAGGGACAGATAGTGTTGAGGAAGCAAGGCGATGCAGAAGGACTTGGACAGGCTAGGAGAGTTGGCACAGAAGTGGCAGATGGAATAGGTAAGTGTGAGTTGATGTATTTTGGTAGGAACAATAGGGGCTTAGGCTATTTTCTAAATAGGGAGAGTTTTTGAAATCTGAAGTATAAATGGACTTGGGAGTCCTAGTTCAGGATTCTCATGAAGATTAACATGCAGAATTAGTTGGCATTTAGGAAGGCAAATGCAATGTTAGCATTCATTTCAAGAGTGCTGGAATACAAGAGCAGAAATGTACTGCTCAGACTGTATAAGGCTCCAGTCAGACCACATTTGGAATATTTGAGAGCAGTTTTGGGCCCCCTGTCTATGGAAGGATGTGTGAGCGTGGGAGGGGATCCAGAGGAGATTTAAAAGAATGATTCTGGGGGGTGAAGGTGTTGTCGTTTGAGGAGCAGTTGAGGGCTTTTGGTCATATTGAATTGAGTTCAGAAGGATGAGGGAGGATCTGATTGAAACTTACAGAATACTGCGAGACCTGTGGATGTGGACAAGTTGTTTCTGCTAGTATAAGAGACGAGGACCCAAGCGCATAGCCTCAGTGTGAAGGAACGAC